CATAGCGCGACCCCTAGCCAATGTCTTCGGCGAGTATTTGTCCTCACGCCCGACCTGCTGCACCCTACTGGTCACGACTTCTCACTAGAACCCCAGGTGACTACCCACCTGAATAGGGCAAGTCGCTATTTTAGCTGAGAAGAGACAGGGATAATACACATTGTTGTATTCAACTACCCAACAGTTTTAAAATTTGTTATTATTATTTCTTTAGGTTCTGAGTACAGTTTAGGGCTTCAGCAGCACACCTCCATTTTACTCTGTTCCTTGCAGTGCTCTTTAGCTGGCTCTACTATTGCCCATAGGCTCTTATCTCCTCCTCACACGATTTCCACCATGTCACCATCGGATCCATGCCCAACTCATTGTTTTCCATACAGGTTCCAGTCGAGGGAAAACAGATATTTGTATAAATCTCAACGAAATTAAAATAAACAATTTCAATGTTTCATCAACCTGAAACCAATCTGGAAATCTTCGTCACTCAGCCTGCATCAACAACAAAATTCGGATTTTCAATACAAACGTCAAGTCAGTCAGTTCTTTTATACGGATCAGAAACTTGGCGGGTCACAAAGAATATTTCCAACAGCCTGTTGTTGACCTTTATCAACAACTAAATTCATTCCATACTCAAATCAGATGGCCAGAAAGAATCACCAAAAAGAAACTATGGGAACAAACAAAACAAAAACCAATCGCCCAACAAATATGCAGGAGAAAGTGTAGATGGATTGGACACTCGCTGAGGAGGCCGTTGAGTGACATCGCGTGTCAGGCCATAGCTCGAGTGGAACCTGAAAAGGAAGCGGCGAGTGGTTCGTCGGTGCAAGGGTGACATGGAGGAGATCGTGTGAAGAGGAATTGAAACGGTATGGATTAACATGGTTGCAGGTGAAAAGTACAGTAGAAGACAGAAGCAAGTGGAGACGTGCAGTTGAAGCCCTATGTTCCACTAGGAACCCAAGGGAACAATAATAATAATATTGTTTCATTCGGTACACTGGTCTGAACTTATTCAGGAAAGAGAACATCGTGTCTTTAAAATTCTTGTTCAATCATCTTTTTTTGAGTCATGAATGGATATTAGAAACAGTATTTAAAACAATTAGTTCCCTTAATGAATTTAGATAAAGCAATAAGAAGACGTAATTTGTCTGAATCGTGTGTAATGTATTTGTGCAACACTCATTTCAAACAATCTGATCGCACACGGACTTGTCATAGGAATATATATATGGAAATAATAAAGAGTTAAGAGGTGAGAAAATAGAACTTAGGTCAAGTTACAAGGACACACTGAAGGTCGAAATAACAATTAAGATCACTAAACCAAATAAGTCAGGTAGCAGTGTGGTGAGAGCTGTCTGCAAGCCAAAATTGTAGACAGCAATGTACGTCAATGTTACGTCCCGAATCGGGGTCACGAGAAAAACAAGAACAAAGCTTAACCTTGTGGAACTCACCAACCAATCATAGCAGACTTAACGTGTGCAAATACCATTCGCAGATATATGGCTTAGCTTTCTGAAAGAAACGGTCATAAGCAGTGCAGAACAACCTCCAGCAAGAAAACAACCAATCAGAAGACGTTGCTTCTCCTCTGACAATAATATACATAAAAATCTATAAATATCTCTTGATTTTCTCAATAAAGGATCTGTCACCTGACCCTTGTCTTCTGTCGTTACAATAACATCAACCCGTATCGAAATAAAGTTTATCAAGGAAGGTTTAGTGTGATGACGAATTGTTTTTGAATGCATAAAGGTGTTTAAAATTTCTAATTGTTAGGGCTTCCACAAACTTTAGGATACGCCCCAAACACGTTTTATGGATAGGTTTGAAAGATGTTTAAACATCAATTTTATGTCCTATTTCTATAATATGTTTCGCAACAGAGGAGCTAGGTCTCCTGTTCTCACCAATATTGCATGAAATGTGATCAAGATTTGAACTAATAATTCCATACAAACATATTATTACTATCCAGTGAAAAAAATGCTGATCACAGTTCATGTAATTTCGTTGTTTTAATTTTATAATTATTTTCCTGAAGGAATTATATATTTCAATTTCTCTGAGATTGATCCCAATGTATCAATTTTCATATATACCTATTTTTCACTCTATGCTCATTTTTTTGTGTAGAATTATTTGGTCAGATTGTGATTAGCGTTTCTTACAAAACAGATACATAGATAGATCGATTAAAGTAGGAAACGAAACATTATGAACAAAAGAAGGCGAAGTTAAACTTTAAACATCTAACAGGTGTGAACGCACCGACGACCTTGGAATGCTCAGTTCAAGCAGTTAAGGCAGTTAAGCTAAGGAAATAACACGATATTCATTAAAAAAGGAAAGTATTGAGTAAAGTGTAATAATATTAAACTAAAAATATCTGGTTAGTTTTTAGGTTAGGCTGAAGAAAGAATAAGACTAAGCTTTAGGCTAGGGCGTTTTTTAAGCACGATTGCTCATTCCAAGGTCACTGGTGTATTCACGCCCTCTGGGTGTCTAAAGTTGGACTTTACTCAGAGGAAAACTTATGGATTTTTAATAAATTTGAGCTGGTTATCTACTGGTTTACTGAAAGACTACTCTATTATATATAAGTAGTCAATTGTATTGCAATATCAGGCATTTATTGTATGACATTCAAACGGGTAAAGCGAATCTTCACAATTTTTTAGGTGTTCATTCCCCAGTTTAGCTATTTCCACTGTGTAGAAATAAAGTAATAACAAGAGGAGTTAGTTTGTAAGAATTTGATTGGTTTCAGATTTGATAACGGATTGATGTCAGTCAGAGAACCAAGCGGAAACCTAGTAGTACTTGACAGCTGTTTCTTCCTAACTCGGGGCTCTTCACCAGTGCGCACCCACCGCCAGAGCTCGAACCCAGGACCTTCTGGTTATATGGCGAGCTCGTAGACCATTAAGCCACTGGGACCCGATCCAGTGGTCGATGAATTCCAATTTCTGTCAATTCATGATATGGCGAGACCACGAGAGAATGTCATCGAGGCGAGTATTTATCCTCACACTCGACCTACTGTACCCCACTGGTCACGACTTCCCACTAGAATCCAAGTAACTACCCATTCGATCAGTCACTTGTGAGCATCAGATTGATATTCCAGTGTTGGTTTGCAAGAGATTTCATCATGAACTGACAACGGTTTGAGGACCATTGGAAAACCAGCTGGGCGTACTGGACAGCTGTTTCACTCTAGTTCGGGGCTCTTCAGCAATACACATCCACTGAGGTTCAAACCCAGGGCCTTCTGGTTACAAGGCGAGTCCGTAGACGGTTCAGTCACTGGGATCCGATCCAATGGCCCATAAATTCTGAATTCTACCAATTCGTGATGTCTTTCGCGGCCATCAACCAACGTCATCGATGAAACAGCTGTTCAGTACTCCCTGATTTTTGATGGTCCTATAACTGATTTCAATTCATGATCAAACCCTAAAGTATAACAACTACAGCAAAAGGTAAACAGGAGAAAAAGAACACTTCGCCTTACTAAGATAATCGATATTAATAATAGAGAAGATTTGCAGCTCAGGTGGATGATTTGCAATTAATAGTGTTCTCTGAGCTGGTTGGTTTAGTTGCGGAGCTTTCGTCGTCCTTCTGGACAACATCTCCAGCGCAATATTTTGCAGAAAGTGGAATGTTTTAAATTTCTTCATGAGTGATATAATTGCGTTTCCTGGTAACCATCTTTACATTTGTATTGACCATTTTCTATTGACTTGGATTTTAAACTTTCTGGTCACCTGATTTACTTTTTATTAGTTGGTATATTTCGTCTATATTAACGTGTTTGTTAATTGCATTTTCGTTTGAGTACCAGGCTTCTAGGAATTCCCTGACTGCACTTTTAGTGTTTCCTCTGTCTAAGATTTTGACATTATCCCAATCAAATTGATGACCATAATTGTCTATATGCATTGATACTAAAGAATACATATCGTGTCTTTTCACGGCTGATTTGTGTTCTTGGATTCTGATTCGAAGGGGACGCCCACTTTGGCCGATGTAATGCCTGTTGCAGTTCATACAATTTATTTTGTAAATGGTATTAATTTTATCTCCTTTTTCTGTTGGATCTTTCGGTTTGCATAATATCGAATTAAGTGATTTGACTGGCTTGTGTGCTATATCTATTTCAAATGGTTTCAATATTCTAGCTGTTATTTCAGAGATATTTCTCATGTATGGTAGAATGAATTTTCTTGTGGTCTTTGATGATGGTTTCTTGTTGGTGTTTTGATTCGACTTGAAACACTTTTTGATGAAATTTTGTGGATAACCATTCTTTTTGAAGACCGTTTGTAGGTCATTTTCTTCCATTCTTTTCAACTCTGGAGTGTTACAGTGTGTTTGAACTCTTTTAAACAATGTCTGCACACAGTTTTGTTTGTGAGTAATTGGATTATTGCTAGTATAGTTGAGTATTTGATCTGTGTGTCGGCGTTGATTTTCTATATACTTGTGTTTCTAAATCTCCTGTGTTGGTTCTCCTGATTAAGACTCTGCAAAATATTGCACTGAAGATGTTGTCCAGAAGGACGACGAAAGCTCTGCAACTAAACCAACCAGCTCAGAGAACACTATTAATTGCAAATAATCGATATTAAAAGACAATTGAAGTGATGTCATTTTCATATTCTCTAAATTAAACCAAACTATTCCCCACCTCCACCCTCTACCCCACACACGAATGGATTGCTCAATATATTCTAATAAAATTTATAACCAACGAAGCTTAAAATGATGAGCATGAATAGTGTGTGATTAAACTGAATTGTAGCAAATCGACCATCAAAAATTCTAACTTTATCATAACTAAATGATAAAACGTCAGAGCTGTAAGACATTTTGGTAGGTTTTTGACGATAAGGAAAATACACTTGTGTCTAATGGAAACTATTCACCAGAGTATACTTACTGAATAACCCTTGCAATAAGGTAATCAATCAACTTACCCAAATATTGAAACATTTACAGTCATCTTTATATTTACTTGTAATTCATTAGTTAATTGTCCTTCAATTTGTATAGGATTATTGGAACTTCTATATGAAATAGGCAAGAAGACGAAGAAGGGAAAAGAAAGGGGTTATCAATAGGCTGATAAACAGAAGCATAAATTATCATTATTGTATACTACTAATATGAATAGTATAATCAAGTATAGGAAAAAATAAGGAAGTTTTGGAGGTACATACAAATATTGATAGTGGTCATGTAGTGGAGAAAACGAAAGCTTCCAAGGTGACCAATTATCGCATCGCACCGAATCTTGCCAGTAGACTTCGTATTCGTCTACTGCACACAGATGAGGCGATAGGCATTCGAACTATTAAACCTACACTATGCATTCATTTAAAGGAAGTTCTTACAGCCAGTGTCCCTCCAATGTTGCCTATTAAGACCTAACCAACTGACGACTTCTCTACCACACCTTTTTTATATTTTCAACACCTCTCTTATCATCCCTTAATTTTATCACATCTTCTTTAAAACATAGTTTATCTACTTCATGTACAATCTAACATTACTTAATTGGTCCATTTGTTTTTCTTAGCCATTATCGACTATTACGTCTACCTGAACATTTGTTTGTTTAATCATGCTGTTTTTCGTTATTCTTGTTACCACAGATCGCCTCACTTTTTCATCCTTTTAATTGACAGAACCATTATTATTATTATGACTGATTGCACAATTTATATGCGCAATCTTATTATCCTATCGACAAAACACCATGATTGGTTTATATTTGAATTTTTATTTGTAAAGTTATGTATATTAGAGTTAAGTCTGATGATGAGATCTAATCGAAAGCACAATATTGTTCGCGTAAATGTGCTGTTCTAAATTTTACTATGGGAATATTTAATATTTTGAAATATTGAATTTACTATGGAACATGAAAAATGATGGAAAGTTTCATTTCTTTGACATAGCCATGCAACGCCTAGAAGATGGTAGTCTACAGAGGTCAATGTACAGAAAGCCGACATGGAATGGACAATGCTTACATTTTAAACGAGCACTAGTCAAAACTCTGTTCAATAGAGTTAGGAATGTGTTGGTGGCACAGCGATTAGGACGCTCCCCAACCATGCACATGGCCCGAGGTTCGATCCCCGGCCGACACACTCCTTGTGCGTCAGTGGCATAGTGGTTAGGACGCTCGCCGACCATGCATATGGTCCAGGTTTCGACCCCCGGCCACCGACGCACTCCTTTACCTCACCGAGCCAGAAATAGTGCTGGTGAAGAGGAAAGGTTGGGCATGAGGCTAGCAACCCCATCCTGTAAAATAAGCACTGTTACAGAAACTTCAAGCCACTAGCTTGAGGCCCTATGTTCCACTGGGGAACGTGAAGGAAAAAAAAGTCAAAACTCTGTTCAATAGAGTTAGGAGAATATGCTCTACAGGGAAATTAGAAGAAAGAATTTCTGATTCTTGAAGAGATGTTGAAAAGCAAAAGTTTTCCTCATAGGTTCATTAACAAGTACGGAAGATGTGAAGGCTCTAATGCCAAACAAATCACAGTGGGAAAAAAAGCCTATCCTCATTCAAATTGATTTTAAAGGTGAAAATGTTGCAGGAATAATCAATAGAAGATTGAATATGTCACTAGCTACAGCCTATCCTGCAGCTAAGTTGGTTCCCATTTATCGGACAACATGCTCTTTGGTGCAATCAAAAGTCGACAGGTACCCTCCTCATGTTAACTCCAACTCTGTATACAAATTTACGTGAATCTGCGGGAGCAGTTACATTGGAAGAACAGAAAGAAGGGCGCACCGCTGATTTTCTGAACATCTATCAAAAAGCCTACGTCTCAATGGGACAAATGCTTTCAATAGTTTCATTGCCGGACATCTCCTTGACACGGATCATGAGGTGGAGGCTGCAAGAGCGTTCAAAATTATCAATCGGCAAAAGAGTTCAATTCTCCTCAAGTCGGCTGAAGCAATCTTCATCAAGCGCCTGAAACCCGATTTATGTGTTCAGAAAGAAGAGGTTATCAGTCTTTTCTTGCCCTAGTAACTGAATGTTTTCATCCTCTCTTTCATTTGACTACGTAACACCAAAACATTCCATTGTGTATGACTATTATTGTTTGGGATAAAGTGATTATTATTATTAGTAGTATTGTATACATATATTGATATTTTGTGTTTGAAATGAACTCGTTGTGTATGTTAAAATTGTTTCCGTACATAAACTTAATAATGTCTTTGGGCTTTAGTCATCGGATGAGAAGCTAACGAAATAAATGATGGTACCAGTTTATTCTGCACAAACTGTTGTTCTTGCTCTGTTGGAAGTAATAACAGAAATCATTATGTGTATGTGTGTAGTTGTACAATATTTCTACTACCTAATTCAATTAAGAGAAAATCTTCGAGTGTTTCAAAACTTATCCATTTTTTACGGAGATGTAGGATCTAAAGATTTAAATGTTTAAGCATGCATTATGATTGTTATCCGCAAAGGTTTCGAGTGGAGCATAAGGAATTAAGCGCAGACAAATCAAAAAGTGACAACAATCGATGAAGTATTTAGCTGTTGTAGGGAGGTATAGACTGACTGGTTGGGATCCTCAATACGAAAAAAAATAATGGTTGCAGACTATTGGTAACATGTCTCAGAATCCTTCTCAGTGGAGCAGAAGTATACACTTTCTGTGCGAACATTAGAGATTTGTTAAATACTCATAATTCTTTATTCCAAAAATTCTCGTTTATTGTACTTTCACCATTGGATCCTTTTCCTTTACACTTTTGTGTGATTTTATGAGGTGTCGAAGTTTGAGCTGTTACACTTTTCTGCAAAGTTCTACATTAAAAATTCAGTTCAGACATCTTTTGGAAGAGTTTAACACTTACTCTAATAAGAATACTATTTGAGTGCATTTATTCCAATGAGACAGATAATATATCCCTTTTGTACATAGTTCTCTTAGTTACTTTTGATAACCTTCCTGTATTATGAAATGCTTCTAGTACAGTGTTAAAAGTTGAACATTCCAGTGTATCTCACAATGACATTACTGGAAGGACGACTGAATCAATCAGTGTCAATAAATATTGCTAACGAGGTACCTGGTACAGGTTTCATGTATGAAACTGTCAGCTGCATACATTGTTTGAAGATATATAGTTAAAAAAGATAGAAACTTACTAAGAAGTGAGTCGATATAAATTGCCAGCCACACATTTGAAAGCTAAATACGGAAGCTGATTAGCTTCCTATTTGATAAAGTCTACTTATGAGATGTCTTATTACTGTTTCTAAACATACTTGGATTGTTTTTCGAAATTGATACTGATGATATTCTCAAAAGAAACATTGTCAAAAGGTAAATAAAAGCTTTGATTGGACACTAGTAACTAGTATGATGTGTCTAGTCCTTTGTTTGGTGCACACTGAATTCTATCAGTCAGTTTTGCGATATGACCGCCATTCTAGGTAGCTCGCTATCACGGTGCACATTGATTTGATGATATTAGATAATTGGAGGCAATGGGCAGGAAGTCTTGGACCTAGGTTTCGAGCTTTTTGACACTCACCAGTCAGCAAGGTGTATCTGCGACCTTGAAGGAACTCATGTCCCTTCTGAGATTTGAACCCGCGTCACCTAGTGCTGCTGTAGTCAGAGACGTTATCATCACTGGGTTATTCGAGCTGGCGATTGACTTCCTGACTGATATAATTTAGTGTGCGACAAAGAAAGGATTAGACACATCACACTAGTTACTAGTGTCCAATGGAAGTATCCAATTCAGTCCTACAGGAGGTAAATCGCGAGCCCGAATAGCTAAGGAAAATTTAAGACAAGAAGTGAAGCGTATAAGAAAAGCTTTGAAACTTAATAATTAACCTGATGAATTAATCAGGAAGTATGTAGGGAAATGTGAAAAAAAATGATAGAAGTGATAGTGATAATAATAATATTAATGACGACATGCATGTAAAACTTGTGCAGGATAATGACAACACCAACAATAAGGAATCCAAATCGTCAGTGGTAATTCCATACAAAGAAGGAACCTCGGAAACCTTACGCAGAATTCTTAACAAGGCAGGAATAAAAGTGGCACTCAAACCCACAAACTCAATTAGAAACAAGCTTTGTCGGTCAAAGGATCCTGTCAGTGGAGCCTTTAAAACAAAACAGTTTAGTTTATCTAATACCCTGCCTACAATGATTGTCAGGTCAAATACATAGGTCAAAGTAGTAGAACAGGTGCAGTCTGTCAGACTAGCTGAACATAAAAACCCAGTAAGATCTAGATTAGTTGGCCAGAATAAGATAAGAAATCTGGAGAATAGTTCAGCTATACCAGTCACTACATGCAATTACACACAACCATACACTAGGATGAGACAAGGTGACAGTTTTGAAAGCTAATGTAACAGGGTGGAGGGAGAGATTGATAACGGAAGCTCCGTTAATTGAGTCAACTGCAAACACGTGTAATCAGAATGATTCAACACCTCCCCACCCAGACATCTGGAAAATTCTACTACCCCTACGACGACGAATAGGAAAGAATAAAGAAAACTATAAAATGAAATAATTCCAAGTTGTATGATTATAACTCATGAAATGATTATGAACAGTAATAAATTGTGTTCGAAACATTGTCATCCAGTAAATACTTATACTTGTTCCTAATAAACAAGTTAATATGGAAATAATGTAAATGCTTACATGACGCTACAAAATATGCTATAGTAGATAACCTTCAACAACAAGACAAGCCGACTGATAACAATTCTCCACAAGATAGACTAAAACAATGCTACTCTACAAAGAACTATTCATCAGAAAAAATGTTGAGCTATCTACATTTTGCCTTATGGTTTAAGGTTTTCAGCCAAGATAAACTTTAGGCTGATAGATAAGTGAATGAACTGTGCAACGAAGCTGTAGAGTATTCCTTTCCAGTACAAAAAAAACCCACTAAAAACCTTAGTGTATTTCATAGGGAGTGAAAATGTTTCAGAGACCTTCATTAACTATCAAGGGGAAGTAATTAATTAATATGAACACACTTTAATTGGACACTAGTAACTAGTGTGATGTGTCTAGTCCTTTCTTTGGTGCAGACTGAATTCTATCAGTCAAGTTTGCAATGTGACCGCCACCGTTCTAGGTAGCTCGCCATCACGGTGCATATTGATCTGATGATATTAGATGGTTGGAGGCGACCAGCAGGTCAATCGCGAACCCAAATAGCTCATTGGTAACGTCTTTGACTACAGCAACACTGGGTGACGCAGGTTCGAATCTTAGAAGGTACATGAGTTCCTTCAAGGTTGCGGATACGCCTTGCTCATTTATGAGTGCCAACTAACACGAAACCTAGGTCCATTGCTTCCTGCCGATCGTCTCCAACTATCTAATATCATCAAAATAAATAAAAGCTTCTAAACAATGCTTTAAAGTTTCTGTAGTGATGAACTGGATTGATTTTCCGGGATAGAGTAGCAAGCCAACCCTATGCCCAACATTCCCTCTTTCCCTGTGGCTTAGGATGGGCTAGAAAACTAGCGAACTGGCAACCCAAGAAAGAGAAGAAATTATAACAATACTAAAATTCTAAACAACACCCATGATTCTTTTATACATCTACACAATTGTAAACTATTAGAAAAAATAGGACCGTCTTTTTAATTTGGCTCCAAAAAAGAACCATCCTTTCCATGTGTAAACTACGGGAGGCAAAGTAGAAGATGGTTGGGAAAAGAAACAGCCAACAACTGATAAATATATAAAAGGTAAAGTCTGAAAACCATTCAAACTTCAAGTTAAATACATAAATACATAGTACTAACTGGATTTTAAAAAATATACTTTTATAAACACAGAAAGGTAAACACAAACACACACAAAACAAACAAACAACCTACATTAATACAGTACTATTTACATAGAATTTTGCCATTTGTACTGTCAGCTGATGTCCAACAACAAGCCAGCGTATAACACAATGACTGGTTTCACCAAAAGCCAGTGGATGCTGAAGATGACAAATTGCTGTATCCGGTCGAATTAAACTGGCCTCACGTAACTAAAACAAAACAAACAAAAAATAATAATATATATTAAAGACAGTTATTTAAAACAAATAAGTACTGGTGAAGATGAGAAAAGAGAATACAAGTAGGCAGTGCAGTTTCTTCTACACAGAGACAGAAAGTGAGAGAGAGACAGTGTCTGAATTCAATTCAATCGTCTACTAAGTAGTCTCTTTTCCATTAACTTTTAAAATAAGCAACGTGTTTATTATTGTCTTGCAGAAGTCGACAATAAAATGTGACAGGTTGTGTATATATATATTTGTATATATGGACTCATTTAAACAAAAATCACAAGAAAGAACTTGGTTCAAAAAGAGAATGAAAACAAAAAACAACTTGAAATAACCATAGGACATGAAGATAAGATTACAGACAAAGATATGATTCATCAGTAGATAGATGTGACACAGAGATGTGAATCGATTATAACTAATCGGAATGAAAGCTAGCTATTAATTATACTATTAACTGCGAATTTCACTGGTTGTTGAATGAAATGAAAACTGAAGAATCAATAATTTACTATTATTATGAGGAAACAGGCATAAAATGGACTCATGCAAAAGAGAAACTTAGAGGATCTGGACTCCGTCCATGATGATGTATGTCTGATTTACCACAAACTGGAAGATATGCAAGCGAAAAGCAACAAGTTGGCAGACGAAGCATCCATAGAACATAGGACTTCAGGTGAACATAGAGAAGACAGAGGTAGGAGGTGAAGATTCCTGGGCAACACTACCAACAGCAACAACAATAACAGACAACAATCAGCATAAATGGAAGGAACCTTAAAGAAACAACCTTTTTCACCTACCTACCTACCTACCTGGGAAGCATCGTTTCAACTACAGGCGGATGGAACTGACGAGGATATTAAAGCAAGAATCGGAAAAGCAAGACAAGCTTTCACTACTCTCAAGTCTGTGTGGAGGTCAACAGCACTCAGCATGAAAAGTAAGATCCAGATTTTCAACTCCAATGTGAAGTCAGTCAGTGCTACTATACGGATCAGAGACTTGGCCAGAGCGTCATAAAGAGCATCTCAAACAAACTACACACCTTCATCAACAGCTGTCTTCTCTCAGTACTACTCAAGATCAGATGGCCAGCCAGAAAACATCAGCAACAGAGATCTCTGGTAATGAGCGAACCAACCAACACAGCAGGAACCGATTGTGAAACAAATATGCAGGAAGAAATGGAAATGGATTGGCTGGCCATATTCTGAGGAAACCATTAAGTGATATCACTAGACATGCCATTGCTCGAGTGGAACCCGACAGAATGGGAAGCGGCGAGTTGGTCGTCAGTGCGAGGGTGACTTGGAGGAGGTGATGTGAAGAGGAGATGGAAGCGTGTGGGTAGACTTGGAGCCAGGTGAAGACTCTAGCAGAGAGCCGAACGCAATGGAGAAGCACGGCTGAAGCCCTATGTTCCTCTAGGATTTAAAAGAAACAATAATAATAATAATAATTATTATTATTACTGTTATTCCCTTAAGTTCCCAGTGGAAGATAGGGCTTCGACAAAACATCTCTATTTCATCCAATTCTTTATAGTAGTATTTAGTTGATTCCACGATCGCCTATAAACCCTCATCTCCTTGTCACACGAACACCTCGAAGCTACGCTCAACTCGTTGTCTCCCATTCGAGTTCTACTTGAGCAATGGCCTGCCGCGTGATATCACACAACAACCTCCTCGCTGTGTCCCCCCCCGTGGTACTATTAGATATAGGAAACATACTTAGGAACTTTGCGTCCAGATTCTATTAGCTGTTTCAAGATAGACATGTGTGGAGATGTCTTTTCTCTTTTTCATAAAACCATAGGGGTAAGAGTTCAATGATACGTTCGGAAAGCAAACTCTGGGTACACCCGATACACTTAGCTCTACACTAGTAGGTGAGTTGGTAGACGCACATTGATGAGTGAGGCCAGTAGTGATAGCTTATCCTTCACGTTCATGCGAATCATTGGTTTTGTGGAGAAAGTTATTCGAAGTTCACTCGCAAAGAAGGTTTTCTTCAGTGAGCATGACAGGAAATTTCTCTGTATTTCTGCTAAAGAATCTCTATTGAATTGAAGATTCACGAATACAGAATTCTTTTGGGAGCAGAAGGTGTGGGCAGTTTTATTGGTTTAGGCTTCATGAATTTCATAATGATGAATCTGGACGCCAAACTAACCTAAAAACCAACTTCAAAGTCATTTACAGAATATGTGGGAATCTTGCTAGAAGAGTACGAATCAAACTTCTTCAAACCACAGAAGCAATGCTAGTTCACATGTTAAATCCTGAACTCTGCATGCAGAGGAAGTTTGTTCAGTGATTAGATCTACGATGGACTTGATCTGTCTTAACAATGGAAACTTAATTCTTGTTTTAAATTGTATGATTTTCTCCCCTTTAACCGCTGTTAAACGATGTAACAATCCGTTAATCTTATAAACTTTGCAACTGTAAAGCTGTTAATTGAAGCATAGATGATCATTATAATGAGGTAAATATAAAATTTGCATGAACAGACACGGTTACGACAGGATTTATCAATTAATGAGTGACTCAAAGTTCTATCAACTGGACGAGAATATTCTCTCTCCCTCTTTATCTCAATATTTTCAAAACACACTATAGAGTATAAATAATTGCAAGAAAAAAACAAAACATTTATTCAACTTACTTTTGGATCAAGTTCTAGGAGAGTAGACGGAAAATTACTGACTAATCCAGTTACATAAGCTAAATCATTGCCAATATTTGTGACACGAACATTCACTTCAATTGTCTGATTATTATCATCACCAACATAAACAACTGGGCCATTTTTATCTCTAGAAGGAATTGTAATAAAACAATAAAAGTGGGAAACAGAATTCGTCAGCCTCCGGGTATTACATATTTATGTATATCTTCAAAACATATCATGAAGTGGGTGGTTTGCAGATCTACTATTATTTATTTGGTAATTTCTTTTTATTCCTTTACGTCCCCAATGGAATATGGGGCTTCAAGCTAGAGCCAGATTGAAGTTTCGGTAGCATTGGTGTTTTATTTTTTACGGGATAGGGTTTCTAGCCTCATGCCCAACCTTCCCTCTTTACCAGTCTAATTATTGGCTTAGCGTACGAGGTAAAGGACTGCGTCGGTGGCCGGGGATCGAACCCCGGACCACATACGTGGTTGGCGAACATTCTACCGCTGTGCCACTCTATTATTATTTATCCAATAAGGTTGCTGTACTAACGATTTACATTGGGGTGATGGAGTTGATGTTATTGCTACTAACAGATTCTTGTCAGTAGTATACATTGCATCACCTTTTGACTTTCATATTTAATCCAATTTGTTGATGATATAAACCAAACTAATAAGTTGAAGCATATTGCTTGTGCGAATAGCTTAAAAATGCATTCCACTAGTAATTGATTTAGATACCAATAGTTCTATTAATTAAGGTCTTCTGGTGAGGTCATTCATTTCTTCGGTGATTTTGAAGGAAATGGATGTCTAGTGTTCTTTGGTTTCAAATTGTTCTCGAACTGATATGGATCCGTGAAGAAATCTACTACATCAATATTAAGTAATTCTCTTTTTTGACAGTGCAGTTTTACACTTGAAACTTACTATATACTAAGTGGAATAAAATAAAATTATCGAATAAATTTGTGAGTGTTGAACCATCAGATTCCCTATTCGGGATGAAACGTGAAAGTAAAACATATGGGTTGGTAAGAAAAGGAAGTTAGAGTGAGATTATTTTATTGTAAAAAAAAGGACTTCAACAGCACATCTCCATTTCATCCCTCTCTCTGAAGTCTTTCTGATCTGGTTCCACGGTTGTCCATAAGCTCTCATCTTCTCTCTACATGATCTCCTGCATGTCACACTCGGAGGACCAAAGGTCAACTCGTTTCCCATTTGAGTTCTACTTCAGTGATGACTTGGAGTACCATGTCACTCAATGAAATCCATGGTGTATGTCCGACCCATATCTATTTCTTTCAGCGTATTTGTTGGGCAAAAGCTGTTGGTTGCTTCGTTACACCTTACAATTATCCGTAATTCCTGTCCTCGCACGATCCCCTCCATGTCACCCTCGAACACCCACTCATCGTTTCCCATTCGGCTTCCACTCGAGAGATGAGTTGGTGTGCGATGTCACCCAACGGTCTCCTTAGCGTATGATCAATCCATCTCCATTTTCTCCTACATATTTGTTAAACGATAGGTTCTTGGTTGGTTTGTTGCCAGCCATAGTTTCTTGTCGCTAATCCTTTCCAGCCGGCTGTCTGATCTTCAGTATGGAGCCAGCGGAGGTAGCTATGGATACAAGTCTGAAACCTATTTGAAATCCCTTCGGTAACGCGCAGTGCAAGTTTCTGAACCACACAGAAGAACTGATTAGCTTGAATTTAGTATTGAAAATCTAAATCTTGTTCAGACTAACATCAGAGTGTAATGAAGATCTATCTTGGTTTTCCGATTCTGTCTTACATACCGTCATCCATGTAGATTGTAGATGATAAATTGAGATATCCTAGGTTTTTTTATCATTTCACTAATGGATAAAGAAACCTTACAGTTCTAGGAAAACAGGTCGTTTTTTTGCAAAAGTTTATCGTTAGATGAAAACCTGCATACTCCAGACGAAAATAGCTGATTTAATCATACAACTATCGTATTTCTGCTATTTCAACGACTGATAAATAGATTTCTACATATCTACAGACATAGCATAGATAAGGATTTTATCAAACTTCAATATATGATGTTAATATAACTGATTGATCGAATGTCTTACGCTACACTCCCAATAGAACAGTCACTGTTTAATATTTTAATATAACGAAATGACCGTTTTGTATTATGAAGTGTTTTCTTTTCTAGTGACTTTGACTTCTGTTTAATGCTGTGTAGCAATATAATACAAAATAGATCCTTATAAAATGCCTCTGATCATAACTTCCTAGTCTTGTGGATAATACTTTGAACTCTGAAATGAGGAGTTACAGTTTACAACTTGAAATGCTCACCAGGTACATAGAAATTATATGTACGTATATTCCTCTACTTTCAGAGTACAGTTTGAGCTTTGAACTTTCAGTAGAAGTGATTTCTTATGTTCTATGGAGTGGGTTTCCTAGTCTCATGCCCAACATTTCTTCTTTACCCGACTTACTACTGGTTAAACGAGGTTTTATGAATGCATCAGCCGGGAATCGAACCCTGGATCACGCCTGGCATGGTTACCAAGCTTTCTACCACTGAACCGATGACGCACATCGACGTGCGTGGAACTGTTGTATTCTTCCAGATGACTAAATCTATAGAATTATATCACGCAAACTGATAAAAATAAATTTAATATTCATGTAATATGATATATATATATATATATTAAGTAGTAAGGATATGATCACATACCTCGTAACTTTTACATCGTAGCTAACTCGTAGTTTTGGACAACATTTACGAACTGCGCAAGGATTGTCAAATGATAACTGAATAAACAATATTTTTAAAGAAAATTGAAAAATTAAAATAACTTTGTTTATATATTCTATAGAAAAGAGATATATCTTCATTCAGTTTACTTGACACTAAATAATAATAATACTAATGAAAAATGTACTAGGAAACAAAGTAAAATCGTGCTGTCCAGTCTTGAGTATCAAGTATTTGCAATGTGAACAACTAGTTAAGAAACCCACCGTCTTTGTGTCAGTCGAAATGACTTTAGGTGGTTGGATGCTGCAATTGGCAGGAAGTCCTACCTGTAGAGTTCTGTCATCACTAAGATCTCGACAACATGACACATCTTAGTGATGAAGTAATGTATATCATAAAATCCTAAAGGAGATACACGGTGACATAAGTGTAAACAGTAAATGGCGTTCAAAGCAACACCTAGTAAATAATACTGTTTCACTGTGTCTCTTATAACCGGTATACCAAGTTAATATGAACAGAAATTTATTCATCGACATTCCCTCCACTATGGCACTGTTCCACTTTATTGTATGATTGTATTGGCATATAAATAACGATAGATGAGTTCTTTTCTAGATCACTTAATCTTTGATCTACCACTTCAAAGTTAGCCGAACATCTATCATCTATGCTTTGATATGACACTTGACTCTAATAGTCTCGTTTAATTTTTACAGTGGATCTTTGAGAGATCTCGTATACTCAATTGTCACTTTATTACCCTACCCATTAAGAAGCCTACTTATGGTTTTAAACACGATGAAAGCCTTATTATTATTATTGTTCCCTTGGGTTCCTAGTGGAACATAGAGCTTCAACTACACGCCTCCACTTGCTTCTGTCTTCTGCTGTACTTTTCACATGCATCCATGTTAATCAAGACTGTTTCAACTCTTCTTCACACAATCTCCTCCATGTCACCCTTCGACGTCCCACTCGCCGCTTCCCTTTCGGGTTCCACTCGAGCTATGGCCTGACGCGCGATGTCACCCAGCGGCCTCCTCAGCGAGTGAGTGTCCAATCCATCTCCACTTTCTCCTGCATATTTGTTGGGCGATTGGTTCTTGTTTTGTTTGTTCCCATAGTTTCTTGTTGGTGATTCTTTCCGGCCATCTGATCTTCAGTATGGAGCGAAGACAGTTGTTAATAAAGGTCTGCAGCCTCTTGGAAATATTCTTTGTGACCCACCAAGTTTCTGATCTGATCCGTATAGAAGAAGTGACTGACTTGACGTTTGTATTGAAAATCCAAATTTTGTTGTTGATATTGAGTGACGAAGATTTCCAGATTATGAAAGCCTTAAACTTTTTCTTATTCATGTTGTGTTTCACTACTTCCATAAGCAGTTATATCCACCTCACAGGGTTAATGAATTCCCCAAATAAAAACGGTGCGTCGGTGGCACAGTGGTTAGGACTCTCGCCGACCATGCACATGGTCCGGGGTTCGATCCCCTGCCGGCGCACACCCGATATCTATGGTATGCCTGAATTTGGGCAACCGATATCCATGCTGAAAATTCCATACTTGTACTGAAAATACGGTGTGGAATCAAGCTGTAAATAAAAAAAAAAAAAAAAAAAAAAAAATACTACTGTTTCTCTTATCTTTCCAATTTCTCTTATTAGGAACTTGCACTACGCTGGCTAGTCTTTCAAAACATACTTTTAGGATAGAAATGGATGTTATAATAGTTACCTATTCCCAACTATCCAGGAATATATCCTCTATGGCTGGGAATATAGTTATCCAACAAAGGTCAGATTTATCAACAACTGTCTTCGCTCAGATGGCCGGAAAGAATCACCAACAAGAAACTATGGGAACAAACAAAACAAGAACCAATCGCTCAACAAATATGCAGGAGAAAGTGGAGATGGATTGGACACTCACTCGCTGAGGAGGCCGCTGGGTGACATCGCGCGTCAGGCCATAGCTCGAGTGGAACCCGAAAGGGAAGCGGCGAGTGGGACGTCGAAGGGTGACATGGAGGAGATTGTGTGAAGAAGAGTTGAAACAGTATGGACTAACATGGGTGCATGTGAAAAGTACAGCAGAAGACAGAAGCAAGTGGAGGCGTGTAGTTGAAGCTCTATGTTCCACTAGGAACCCAAGGGAACAATAATAATAACAGAGGTCAGATATCACAGAGCTTTCTAATTGGTTTCTTTGTTCTGTGAATGAGTTTACGACAGTGATTTCAGGGTTTCTTGACTGCTTTTAGTTAGTCAGCTAATTTGGATGGCTCATATATCTCTTGAGTCAACAATTAGATAACTCTACGACCTTCAATATGAAGGTCGTTAGTGATGAAGGCGTTGTCCTGAAGGCAGGACTAAACTATCCAATTCAGGGAATACAACACCACCAGACTCAATAGATGCTTTCAGAAGAAAATTTATCTTTTCTTAAAGGTATTTGGTTTTTGAACAAAGCAAGAACTACAGTTTTAGCGGAATAAAATGGTACCATCTTTTATTTCGTTGCCTTCTCGTCAGCTGCTTACAGGGCAAAGACATTTTTAAATGTATTTACAAAAACAATTTTAACATACTTGCACAATGTTCATTTTAAACAAAAAATCAATCGATCAATATACGCATACACTAATAATATATACATATATATATGCAATACTGAACACAATTCCGAGCAATAATAATAATACACAATGAAAACTTTTCAGCATCTCCCATTCGGATGAAAAATATCTAGTTACCAGGCCAAAGAAAGACTGATAACCGCTTCTTTCTGAACTCATAAATCAGGTTTCAGGCGCTTGATGGAAATGGCTTCAGCAAACTTAAGGAGAATTGAGCTCTTTTGCTTATTGATAATTTTGAACGATCTTGCGACGTCCACCTCATGACCCGTGTCGAGGAGATGCCTGGCGATGGCACTGTTTAAAACATTTGTTCCCTTTAGACGTAAGCTTTTTTGGTACATGTTCAGAAAATCGTAGATATGCCCTTCTTTCTGTTCTTACAATGTAACTGCTCCCGCAGATACATGTAAATTTGTATATACAGTTGGAGTTAACATGAGAAGGATATCTATCGATTTTTGACTGCATCAAAGAGCAAGTTGTTCGATAGACGGGAACGAGCTTAGCTGCAGGATAGGCTATGGCTAGTGATGTACTCAGCCTTCTGTTGATCATCGCTGAAATGTTTTCACCTTTATAATCAAGCTCAAAGTAGATTGGCTTTTTTCGTACTGTGATTTGTTTTACATTTTTGACTTCAGATCTTCCATACTTGTTGATGAACCTTTGAGGGTACCCATTGCTCTTCAATGTCTTTTCAAGAAACTCAAATTCTTCCTCTAATTTCTTTATAGTATTTGGTTTTGTTTTAGCAGAAATTTTGAATTACTTCTTTCAAAATCAACGCATATTTCTTCAGTGGATAGATAGGTGGAGATAGTCTTACTTTCCCTTATGTCTAGTGTTTAAATGTATATGTCAGCCTCTCTCTCTCTCTATATATATATATATATCATATTTCGATGTTTACTTTTCAACTTCGATTATGATAATTATCATCTGATGTGTCTACTCTGGTGGGTAACCCTACAAAATCCCAGCTCAAGTTGAGAAAGGAGAACTAAATCAATAGAAGAAGAATTACCACAGTTGAATTCTAGACTTGTCTCACCAAAATGGGTTTCATTAGCAGCAATGGGAAGTCATGTGATGATTCGACTGCCTGATTTCTTGTATTTGTAAGGCTGATCATATTTCTAAGGTTTTAATTTCTATCACTACACACTAATTCCTTTCGGATTATATTTGCTGATAACTTTTGATCAATTCTTTACATAAAACTTGGTCCTGAATGCGACAAACAACTTCATTTATGCGATAATTCTGGTCCTTATGTGTCTCCACTGTCAGGTTGCCTGTGGATCACGTTACCACATTACCATTCAGTCACCAGGACCGAATCGTAATCCAATTTATTGGCTATATTGTAATGTAGTCGTCTCGTAACCGGAAGGTCATGAGTTCAACATCTGATGGGTTCATGAGTATGTAGCGCTGAAGAGTCTCAAACTAGTACGAAACACTTGTCCAATACTCTCTAAGTGATGACAGTTGTAAATGAAATCTAACTGGAAAGTAGTCAAATCCTACAGATGAACACTTGTAGATCATATGTCTGCCTAATGCTTAATAATTCACATTTCTGTATCTTACAAATTCTCGAATAATTGGAAATTGACAAGAATAAAGAAAAGAAAATATATATCAGAAATCAAATTATTTATTGATTAACTAACCTGAAGGAGTTCAGTATTTTCACGTGGATCAGCTACAGGATATTCATCAATCTGATCTGCTGCAGGATGTGGTTCAGTCATTCTAGCAATCCATTTCGCGCCAATCTTTAAAGGTTCAGTTTGATCAATTAAATATGTATCCTGAAAAAAAAAAAAAACAAGACACAATTGGACAATCCTTGATGAAACAGCATTAAGCAAACTCAACAATTTTACAGAAACAGAAAAAAAACAAGCAACTTAAAAGCAGAATTTATCTGACTGTTTGTTTAGCTCTTATCAGATGTGTACGACATAAAATATTAAACATAAATTCATAGAAGTAGTTATGTAATAATGATTGACTACAGATAACAACTAGTGACAGGTAATTCATTAACTATGACAACTAGTCGTTAATATGCTGTAGGAATGAGTTTCAGATTGATATTCAGGCAGAAATGAATAAATATTTGGTTTTTTGTTTAGATGGATTAAATAGGAGCTCTGTGATAACGTTATTACCCTTAGACTTGAAGAATCTAGAGTTGATTTTGTATAGGACTCAGAGTGGAACATAGAACTTCAACAACACATCGCCACTCTGTTCTATTCTTTGCAGTCCTATTCAGCTGGCCGCACGAATGCCCATAGACTGTCATCTCCTCCTTACACAATCTCCTCCATGTCACCCTCGGGCACACGCTCAACTCGTCGTTTCCTATTTGGGTTCCAATCGAGAGACGGCATTGTGAGCGATGTCATTCAACAGTCTTCTAGGTGTGCGTCTGAGGCTTATTTCTTGAGCAATAGGTTTTCGAATGATTCATCCTCAGAGTTTCTTGTTGCTGATTTTTTCTGACCATCTAATCTTCGACATGGAGTCAACAAAGGCAGCTGTTGATAAAAGTCTGCAACTTGTTGGAAGTGTTTTTTGTGACACACCAAGTTTCTGACCAATATATAGAAGAAGTGATTGATTTGACATTGGTGTTAAAAATCCTAATCTTCTGTTATTTATGTTAATTGCAGTAGATTTTGAAACTGATTTCAGAGGAATGAAGGTCTGTCTTGACTTTTCAATTTTGCTTTTGACATCCTCATCTACGCGCCTGCGCCTGTAGTTGAAAGGATGCTACCTAACTAAGTGAAGGAAATGACCCCCTTCAAATTTCTTCCGTTGATAGAGATTCGTACTTGTATTCTACTTGATTTTAGGTGTTTGGATGCAACTGACAGGAAGCCCTCCCGGTAGAGTTCTGTCATCACTAAGATCCGGAGAACATGACACATGTTGATTGATTATTTTCATCACCTCCGTCTTCCCTATATTCATTGGAAGCTCTGTTTTTGATGATTCTTCTGTCAACTTTTTGGTTTTCGCCTACAGATCTTCGAATCTGTGTGACATTAGAAACAAATCATCCGTGATGTCCAGATCTTCCAGACTACTGTCTTCAAAATACTATCCATAACCTTCTGGTTTCAAAATTACGTCAATTTTAAACTAAAATACTACCGCTAATCAGAAACTACATATCTGAATACTGATACTGTATTCAGGTAAAACGACAATATACTTTTCTCATTTAAAGGTGGTGACTAAGTGATTGCGTTTAGGATCTAATAATATTTGCGTATATGCAAAGCCCACCTGCTTTTTTATATCTAAATTTACTAGTTGTTTAAGGCATTGGTATCTCTGTATAGCGAAATTATGTACACCTTATCTTCAACGCACTATTTGCACAGATCTTTCGTGTTGTGCCACTTTTGGACTTCATACTGTGTTTCCTTGTGTTCCTTTCTCGTCTCCCATGTATCTCCGCGACGCTGAATTATGTGCTTTCTCTGACATCAAATCTATCACCCTGCTATTTGATGTTTTTATGCCGATGAACATCTCTTTATATACTACTGGTAAATCTTATCAGTAATTGTGAATTTCTCGTAGATACTGAACAACTTAATCTGTGACAATTTGCTTCCTATGTGTCATCTATGAACTAAGTGTTTTAAGGTGGTTCCCTTCACACTGATGTTTTCAATCATTGATAATAACACGAATACATAACAAATGAAACAAGACGCATATCTTTGATTCGAAATCTTGGTTATTGTCAATGTAATTAGATTATTATCCCCTTAGGTTCCGAGTGGAACATACAGCTTCAACAGCGCATCTCCGTTTCATCTCTTCCTCTGAAGTCGTCCTTAGCTGGCGACAGGGTTGCCTATAGACTCTCATCTCTTCTATGTCACAATAGGACCATTGCACAACTCGCTATTTTCCTTTCGGGTTAAGCTCGAGGGCCTGGCATGCAATGTTTACTGATCAGTCCTAAGGTCATAAAAAGAGGGAAGGTTGGGCGTGAACTAGCAACCTGATATGTGTCCCAAATCTATCTCATTAGTGTCTGTTGGTCAGATAAATCACATGTCACATAATGAGCGTCAACCAATCAGAATCCAGCATACAGTTAACGCCTACTATTCGAGCCTTATGACAGGATCAATATATGTGCCGTATATTTTTGTATTCTTGTCACGTTCTCTATCACAATATTCCAACCCTACTGTGTGAGTCTTCTGGATTTCACTAGTTCGTATCAGGGAATAATCGACCAAGAAATTATCAAGAGTTCATAACGTCCGTCAATTAGCATACGTAAATACAATGGGAGACATCATAACACAGCCCTATCCCTGGGAAGCATCGTTTCAACTATAGGCAGACAGAACTGATGAGGATATCAAAGCGAGAATCGGGAAAGCAAGGCAAGCTTTCATTACTCTCAAGTCTGTGTGGAGATCGACAGCACTCAGCATGAAAAATAAGATCCGGATTTTCAACTCCAATGTGAAGTCAGTGCTTACTATACGGATCAGAGACTTGGCACCACGTCACGAAGGGCACATCGAACAAACTACAGACCTTCATTAACAGCTGTCTTCGCTCAATACTCAAGATCAGATGGCCAGAAAAGATCAGCAACAGGGATCTCTGGAATGAGCGAACCAACCAGGAACCGATTGTGCAACAAATATGCAGGAAGAAATGGAGGTGGATTGGCCATACTCTGAGAAAACAAACCATCAAGTGAGTGACATCACACGCCAGGCCATCACTCGAGTTTAAACGGAATGGGAAGCGGCGAGCTGATCGTCAGTGCAAGGGTGACATGGAGGAGGAGGCCATGCGAAGAGGAAATGAAAGCATGTGGGTAGACGCGAGGCCAGGTGGAAACGTTAGCGGAGAACCGAACGCATTGGATACGTACGGCTGAAGCCCTATGTTCCTCTAGGAATTATAGGAGACAATAATACACAATAATATACCTGAAATCATCAATCCAATCGCTATTAAAACTTTAAAGGCACAGAAAATAACAATAATAATAATCTTAAAACTCAATAGAATCTTATTAATAGAGGGGAAACTTTACTTGGGAAAAAACTTACTCGAAATATCATTCTAAATGTATGCGCTAAATTTAATTCATCATTACTAAAACGTTGATTATTTTTCACTTTTATAGGATCACGACAAAATGCGCTACTTTCCAATTCTAAATATCCTCCAGGGCTATCAAATCCTGACAGGTATGCAGATTCATTACGTTTAAAGTATTGTTTAATGATATGCGTTTCAATATCATTGATACTCTTTTCTCGTATAAATACAATTGGTGATAGGGAATAATTTTGATAGAATTCTTTCATAATATTTTGTGTAACAATATTTGACTGTTGATGATCATCACTATTACATTGATTTGTCGCATCAGCTGATTCTGGAGGAACTGGTTTTTTATCAAATACTTCCCAACCTTCTGAAAGCCATTCAACAGTAGGATTATATTTCAGTAGAACTGTTACTGGATAATGTCGGCGTTGATTACACGGTTTACTATTTATTAATAAAGGAAAAAACGATGGAGAATTTGTTTAAATACCACAATTATATATATATATGTAGGCTAATTGTGTAATCGTGATCATGTTTATATATTTAAGAATAGTAAAAGAAGAAAGAGTAGGTTAAAAATGAATGTTTGCATTCATTCTCTTCATGATAGTGGACCAAGTGTTTTTTTATTTCGAGGTTTCTTGTCAACAGTCTCTCAGTCAGACTGTTCCAAATTAAATGACTTTCTCTCGGAAATTAGTCAGTGGTCCTCTTCAAACGGTCTTAAGCTGAATCCGTCTAAATGTCAGGTAGTAAATTTCACTTTCAGACGAAAACGTGACCTACAACAACTAGCTAGCTCACATGGTCCCACTATCATTGACGGCATAGAGGTTGAAACTACATCTAATGTCAAGTACCTTGGACTGAGTATTTCCTCCGATCTTTCCTGGTCCTCTCACATCTTGCTGGTTACTAGAAAGATGTTTCGCTTAACGTTCTACGTTAGGAAGTTAAGGCAGTCTGGTATAAAACAGTCTTTGCTTTCTCAGTTTGTCAACTCTTGTATTCTAACCATCCCTCTTTACTGCTCCCCATTAATCTTTCCTGGACTACTTAAGAAAGATTTTGCTTTGCTGCGTAGGGCACTAAAAGCTGTTAGTAGGGCAAGTGGGATTTCGTTAAACCAACTGGTTAACACCATTGTGGATAGACATATAATGTCAGACCCCGAACACCCTCTCTATACGCAGCTCTCTCCTTGCATTTCATCTGGTAGAACTAGAAGCAACTATAGGAGGCTATATGCCAGGACTACCAAGTACAAAAACTCCACAATACCTTATCTGGCACAGCTGTTATGTGATGAGAAATCCGTTAGGTATGACACGATCAACTTACTGCGGCACTCTAACAAATAGTTCCCATTAGCTTTTGTTCTCCTTTCTTTGTTACTATTATATTGTTGCTCACATATTCTATTACACACTAATTTTATATTTCATATCCTGTGGTGCATTGTTTAAAATAAACTGTTCTTTTATTTCTTTATTTATTTTTTTCTTTTTGTTGTTGTTGCTTTTTATTTTTAAAATCTTATAAAATTTATGAGGTAATAGATGCAATATTGTTGACCTGAAATCTACCTACCACAAATTTTTAATAAGCTATTATTATTATTAACTAGCTACACTGAACAATACAAAATAAAAATTACAACAAAGACTTAAGCATAATTTCCTCGCCATAGAAAAAGTGACCGAAAGAACTAAAGGTAACAGAAAACAAAGTTTAACTTTAGTATCTCTATATAGCGAAATTATATAAACTTTATCTGTAAATGGTCATTTGTACAGATCTTCCGTATTGTGCTACTTGCTCCCTTCTTTTCGTGTCTCACATATTTTACCGCGTGTCGGTGGTATAGCGGTTAGGACGCTCGCCGACCATGCACATGGTCCGGGGTTCGATCCCCGGCCGACGCACTCCTTTACCTCGCTAAGCCAGAAATAATGCTGGTCAAGAGGAAAGGTTGGGCATGAGGCTAGCAACCTCATCCTGTAAAATAAACACTGCTACAGAAACTTCAAGCCACTAGCTTGAAGCCCTATGTTCCACTGGAGAACGTGAAGGAAAAAAAATATTTTACCGCGGCACTGATTCATTTGCTCTATTTGACGTCAAAACCTATTTCTCCACAGTTTGGTATTTTTGTGCCGAAGATCATCCTTTGGTACACTACTGATAAACTTGTCAGTAGCACACGGCACACTCGTCCCCCTATCAAATAGTTTGGAACGAGCCGCTCCAAACTTATTGGTTCTACTCCTTCCTGTTGTACTTTGGTCTGTGCTGCCTTATCCCACTGAATCTATTTCTGCAGTTGTCTGATGTTAACCCTTTTTTGTTTATTTCCTCTTTTATTGGTATAAACAGGACCACGTATTACCCTTCCTACTTTGGAAGGAGTTTCCGTGAACCTGGGCCACATCGAACCGCGTACTTTCTTTGTCTACACTTTACTTAATCACCAACCTTAAAGGTTATGCATTCCATCTTTTCTCTCTGTTCAGATTTCGCGGCATCTATCTTCTGTTTATGCTTTAAATTCCTGACGGCTTTTTTCTGTTCCGTTCTCAGCTTCGTTATATTCCACTCTTGATGGAGGGGCCAGTTCGTGCTGTGTATTGGTAGTCGTAGTTTCTTCCCATACATCAACTGAAATGGTGACTTCTTTGTTGTTTTCTGGGTGGAAGCACGATGTGCTAGTTGAATCAGTGGAAGCTCTGTCTCCCAGTTACCTCCCTTAGAGGCCAACCACTCCTTCAGTGTACGGTTATTTCTCTCTGTCAGACCATTCGTTTGCGGATGATATGGTGTTGTTTGGATCTTCTTGATACCCAACTGTTGCGAATGGGAAGTGAATTCTTCGCTTTCAAAACAAGGGCCCTGATCTGTCAGTATCGTCTTTGGTACACCGTGGTCTGCAACGATGTGTCGAACCACTACATCAGTCACAGTTTCCGCGCATTTATCCGGGTTCGCGACTGCATCTGCCCATCGTGTAGGGTGTTCCGTTATCACCGGGATGTAGTGATTGCCACTGGATGTCTGCGGAAACGGACCAATCACAACTATGGACCACAAGTCACCTACTGCCCTGAGAGAAACCGACTGTAGAGTTCGTCGTATGCACTCATCTCCTTTCATCAACTGGCACTGCGGACATCCGAGTAAATATTTTGCCACATCTCTCATACCTGGCCAGTACATGCTTTGTCTCAAGAGGTTGGTTGTTCTGGCTACTCCTGTATGAGCTAGCTGGTGACATTCTTGTATCATCTCATGGAGTAGAGATTAAGATATTACCGCCAACAAACTTCCATCGTTCTACCGGCAAGGTTGCAGATACGTCTTGTTAACTGCTGAGTGCCGACTAGCACGAAATCTAGGTCGAAGGCTTCCATCCGATTGCCTTCAACCATCTAACATACTTCTTTTGTTATTCCTCTTATTTTATTTTAATCGTTTCTCAGTTGTTAGCTTAGCAGATATTCAACTGACATTGAAGGCAAACTTCGTTATCAAGTGACATCAACTAGTGATGCAGTGAAAACCGAGGATCACTAAACAGCTGCTTCACTCCAAACCGGGACTCTTCGATAGTAGATATTTATCGCTCTGCAACGAATTAGATTCCTTATTCTCATTTTACGAAGAAAGCACCTGAATAATCAAACAGTGGGTTGAAATCTAATCACCCGTTACCTTAGAATTTTGAGAATGATTTGAATATCATAGATAAATATCTACCTTAACATCTAACTTTATGAACTCCACTAGTCCGATTCTCCCTTTTATTTCAGTGATTCTCTGATTGTCTCCAGTTAACGAATCTCCACAAACATAACAACTGTGTATACACATCTATCAGTGAAAAAGACTTCTAATCTTCGTCGCACACAGCCGAATGAGAGGGAATTTTCCCTTTATTTTCTAACATTTTCTAAGAAAGATTTTGAACAAAGAATTCAGACAAAACTTTGGGTCTAACAATGTTGGGTAAGAAACAGCTTTTTCTGTTAACTCCTTGCTACCTATCTAATACATTTTTTGCCCCTATTATTATTTACAATTTTCTTACGATTGTCTGTTCTAGTTATTTTATCTCACATCGAAAACATTTTTCTTCTTCTTCAGAGTACTGTTTGGGATTGCTTGAACTAGTGTAATGTAGTACGGTGAAGCACATTTCACAGACAACTTATGTACACAGTGATTCAGTAAAAGGAGTGGGGAGGGTGTCATTATACACACAAGAATGCAGTAAGGTCAAGTAAAATCGATTATGAATTAATAAGGGCGAACAAACATTATGCTACTAATAATATTATAATAATAATTAATAACAATTTTGGCGTGTAAACAGAAATATTAGGTTAAATAAAATAAATAGCTTCGAGGTAAATAAGTTAGATAGTTCGATAGTTAGGAATTTCGACAGTATTGAAAGAGTAAAGGTTATACACGATAAAACATCGTGATTAAAAGTGTTGCGACGAAGATAAAAAGGTAACGAAAAGAAGACAAGTGAAGCAAAAGAAAAAGAGATAAGAGGAAAAGACACTCTTTTGAGGGGAGAAGAAATTTTACTCCAACTTTAGCCACAGTGGAAGACGTAGACGAACTGTGCGTGACAATGATATCGGAATGTGGTAGTGTCAATGAGATGTCCTGTATCCACCAAGTGTCATAGAATTAAGCTCTTAATGCATTTGATTTGATCCTTAACTAAACCTACCTGGTAAATGTTCTCGAATCCGTAGACGAACCTGTCTAATCGTACGCTCTATATAACTTGAACCACAGGGACAGTTGAGATGGTATATAAATGGGGAGAAGCTAAGATTACGTAAGATGCCTTTCAGTTTCGGGGTGAACATTCGATGGCTACTGAAGGATGCGAACGGATGTCCGGGGTAGAAATTCTTCTTTTCTAGCTCTAATTTTCCATCTATACTATTTTGACCTATTGTTAGTGATATTACCTCACTCTTAACCTCACTGGCCGGTAAAGGAGGGAGGTTGAGCATGAGGCTAGTGACCTAATCCCGTAAAAGCGAAACCACTGCTACCGAAATTTCAAAGACCTAGCTTGAAGCTGTATGCTCCACTCGGAACGTAAAGGAATAAAATATAATAATAAATAATAAATAAATAAATAAAATCTCTTTTCTTAATATATGCTTTCACCTGTTTTATTTCACATATTGGTCATTTCGCCTTGTACGACTGTGGACTGACTTGTCAATAAGAGATTTCACGCATAACCCCTAAGGGGAATTTTATTCGACGTATTGAAGATTATTGACAATTCAGCCTTGTAATTTTGACTTTGAAATAATTTGTGTTTTAGAACAGATGCTAGTTGCTTCAAAAGTTCCTTACTTCTACAGCTGATTTGAAACGCATCGTACGCACTGACGTAATAAGAGAGGGCT